CGTGGGTGACAAATTGCACTCGCTTTCCGCGCGCGCACACACGCACACACACACATGCACACACACGCACACACAAACACACAGACAGCCTCTCGACAATATGCGTTTTTGCTGTCTGTAGCAGCGCTGCACAGCAAAAACGCACAAAAACTGTGCATAATGCAGGGATTTTAGGGAGTATTTTCGTCATTAATAAATTAATATTACAGAATGCAAATAAGTTTTCAGTGTTTTCGATTCTCTAATGCGCAATTACAGGGGAAGCGGCGTCTGGTAGCAAAAGGCGTCTGTGAGCAGAAAGTCGTAGGGGAACAGGAACAACAGCTGGTACGCCTATATCGACGTCTGGATTGCGCGACGCAAATTTGTTTACCATTAATTTTTATTATTTTTCTTATGTACTATGTGATGGATGTTGTCTACGGTGACGAGAGCAGCTGTTTCACAAGCATAGCTAACAAATGAATGGTAGTGAATCGCTTTAAAAGGGGTTGGCATGATCCGCAGTTTCTTGACAAATTTACTAGCAGCATATGAAAAACCGTTCATTTTAATAATGTTTCGCATGTCTGAAATGTTTGAAAAACCTTCTAAACTTCCTCTCAGCGTGTGGCAATATCACTATAAGAGCAGAATATACGTTGTGCTAAGCCCAGCAGTTAGAGATCAGAGCTACTGGGTTCAGTATGAGATGCACACTACGAAAAGGCATTCTCGTGCAGCATCATGTCACCAGTACTGACTTAATGAAAGAAAATCGACAATAAAACTCTTAGCATTTTGTGTGTCATTTCAGTGGCCGAAGACTTCATGTGGGAAAGTCATCATGTACGTTGCTTTCAACTGCATCGTTACAGTTGAAAGCAACGTACATGATGACTGTTAAAGTAGTAATTAGCAAACAAAAGTAAATAATAACCCAGGCTGGAGCGCACCAGCTTTGCCGGTGCAGTCATGAGTTTTTGCACTAAACTCGCAGATCGCTAATAGCAAGGATGAACTCCGTGCTCTAGCCCAACACTTGGGCTCATATTTGTAGCGCTCTGACCTCTTTCGGCGTGCGGGAAAAGTGGTATCGGTTGAGATGAAGGCACTGCATTATAGGGCGGTATGGAGCTCCAGGCACATGATTACCAGTTTTTTATATGAAGCTCGGTCGTTTTTCCGGTAAATGCTTGCATTTTGAAAAAATGCTAATTTTCAAGTGACTGAAAGATGGAAATGTTACTGCAGAGGTCGTTTTTCAAAAAATCCGAGTATGCAAATGAACTGAATGTTCACTTACATATTCGGAAGAGGTCGGTCATTTGCTGCAAATCGTACTCGTTTCTGATTTTTCAGTAAAGTTGAGTATTCCTCGTAAACACCTGCAGGAAATTTCATTTCCAAGCAAAAATAAGGCCGCACTTGAAAGTAGAATATCTCAGCGAAGTTTCAGCTTCGCATCTTATCCGATAAGCGGAATAGACACTTCACTACAGACATCTTTGAAGTGTCCTAAGTCGTGGCGCAATTGCAAATTGGTACTCAATTTAGGTATACGAATTCCCAAATGGGCGATAAACATGCTGACAAAATTTCAGCCACTGTTTTCCTACAAGCTTTTGAGTTAGTAAAGTACCAAGTTGCAAATGTTAACGTGATCTTAAGCGCTGCACAAGCTTGTGCGACAGCTGAATTTGACATCTTTAGTTAGCACATGCACAGGGAATATCTTGCAAAGATTTAGCTTTGTACCTTGCTTGATTTGCGAAATCGTTCCCCGCCAAAGAAATTTACATATGTTTTTCGGGAGTCCGTACGTGGGGTTTAGGCACGTATGAGCGAAAATTTTAAAACGGAAGGATCACACACGAGGTAGGAACATATACTCAAAATGTCAGCCTTCCAGGTTTCCTGGTTGCTGAGACGAAAGTGGATGACAAAGTTTATTCGCTTCCGAACGTGTATACGCAGACGACCTCTCGGCAATATGCGGTTTTGCTGGCTGTAGCAGCGCTATAGCACTGCAAAGCAAAAACGCATAAAAAAGGATGCTTCGCATCCAAAACCACAAAGGCGATCCACCAAAACAATGTGTAGAGGTCCTTTGGATTCGAAATAAAGTAAGTGGTGGCATGTACCGGAGTAGCCGGTGCGATTGTGCATTTTACGCGGTTTTGTCTTGTGGGTACTTCCTTTTAAGAATGTTCAGTGCTTTACAGTTTGGGTTGTGTAGAAATAGTCTGGGAAATTTCCTAGCTCCCGAGCTAAGAAATTTCCCAACGAAAAACTTACGTGCTCGCGTGTAAAACGTAGGTGTTAATAAGAGCTGGATTTGAATTTGTAAGACTGCACATGGCCAGAAAACATCCTTCAATAATTTTGGCTTTCTGTCTTGTCTGGTTTTCAGATAGAAAATTTCCAACTCCGAGCAAAGTTTAAATTTATATGATCACACGTGAGCAGAAAACATTTTTCAAAAAGTTGAGTTTTCTATCTTGTCATATTCTCAAATCAGAAAATTTCGCGTCAAAACTCTTGCACGCCGTGCACGAGAATTCAGAGTGCTGTGGAACTAAATTTGATTTTTTTAAATGAGTTTTTGTTGTGCAACGCTATATTGCTGATACGGTGAGCAAAAACGGGTATTATCGAGAGGTCGTCCGTATTTGCGTGTGTGTTTGTGTTCGGAAGCGAGTGAACTTTGTCACTAGCTTTTAAGTCAACAGCTAGAGAAGCTGGGAGGCTAAAATTTTGAGGTCATATTCGCACTACATATGTCGCCCTTCCGTTTTAAAATCTTCGCTCATAAGAGCCAAGATCTCGCGTAAGGAGCCGTGAAAAAAATTTGAGATTTCTTTGTCCGGAAACGATTTCGTGATCCATGCAAGATAGAAAGCTGAAACTTTGCAAAGATATTCTTTGTGCATGTATGAGCTAAAAGTTTTAAATTCAGCTGTCGCACAGGCTTATAGCGCGCGTTCGGTCGCGTAAAATTTCGCAGTTGGCACTATGCTAACTCGAAAACTAGCGGGAAAACAGTAATTGAAATTCTGTCGAAATATTTAATGTTCATATACAAAGTATTATAAAATACGTAAACTGAGTTTTGATTTGCACCTGCGTCACAACTTAAGGCACTTCAAAGGTATTAGTAGCGGATTGGCTATTTAGCTAACCAGACAATTTGCGAAGCTAAAACTTTGCAGGGTATTCTATATTCACATGTGGTCTTGATTTATTTTTGAAGACATGACAAATACTCGATTTTACCGCAAACTCAGAAGCGAGCGTATTTTGCAGATTTCACAGTGCTCCTCCGACTTCCTTCAAATTTGCATTTTTATGTGTTTTTGCATTTATGTAAATTGCAAAAACGCATATTGGGGAGAGGCTGTCTGTGTGTGTGTGTGTGTGTGTGTGTGTGTGCGTGTGTGTGTGTCTGTGTATCTGTGTGTTCGCACTTTTTGTCACCCACTTTCAACTCGAGACCCAGA